TTGTTAAAAGTGTGGGACAGGGGGGATGATGCTGCTGTAGTCGAAAGTAGTGTGTGGACGGGTAGTTCAGTTTTTGGGCACGCAAACGTGCTGCAGGGATGTAGGTGTTACTCTTCGGGCTTGTGTACCCTTTTCTTGCTTGTTTGCGTGTTTTTCAGATCTTCTGATGGCTCTAGCATTTTTGTGACCACGGACCGCGTCTTTGCTATATTTTGGGATTAGCAACTGACACGAGTTTAAAGGGAAGACAACAACAACAACAACAACAACAACGACAACCGGCGGTGAGTCCGCCTCCGTCCGCCGTCGTAAGCGTCGGGATTCGAGTGCGGGGCGTTGCTGACGTACAGTGTTCGTGAGCAAGTTTGGTCTGCTAGTGGGCTGTTGGTCACCGAGCACAGTCATTTTCGGGTAGGGAGACTAAAATCGGGTACCCTCCCAGGGGGGTGAGTAGCCAAGATCGGGTGCACCTGGCGGGAATACGGATTAGGGTCGGGTAGGAGCGGGCGTCGGTCAATCAGATGGCGCCAGGCGCGCCAGCTGCGAAATATGATAACAGTAACCGATAGTGGCCGTGTTCGGATCGGGTTTACCCGATTTTGGCCATTGATCAATAATTCCAATTTGGCGAAAGTGAGATAGCAGGACCACGTGTGTTCTATTGGTAGAGTGCAGTGAAAGGGTCCACCCCCAAAAGGCGTGTTTCTTTTTCCACTTTTTTTCGTATTTTTCGCGAATTTGTCACCCTCTGTTTCTCAAGGAAACTTTTCGGAACTACTAGCTGTGGGCCCGTACCGCTGTACGTGATTCAAGCTAGCATTTATATTTATTATCTCTGGACGTCGAGACGGAGTGGAGTACTGCACTGAGATTAACTCACCATACCTTTCGATGGACCAGATTCACGTAAGACACCACACAGAGCCAGACATGGACAAGGGGGAGGGAGACACACACCACAACGAGAGCGAGACGGGAGCAGTCAGCTTTCATCGGATCATCGGGGCGGGATGAGACCCGCACACAAGTTTCTTATACCCTTGTTTGGAAAATCAAACAATCCGCAAACATCAAAGGTCATTGCGTCAGAGTTGCGTCGTTACGTCCGGGACCAGGAACCCCCGGACAGTATGCCCCAACCATGCATGTTGTTCTGTTGTTGTTGTTGTTGACTTCACATTAAAAACCGTTCCGTTCTCTCGACCCATACTCCCGACGAATCCCTAGATAGATGATGCAGATCCATCTATGCCATGTTTCAATCGTTTGATCCGTTCGCACACCTACGCTTTGAAACTTCAAACAGCCTTTGGGAAAAGCACGAAGAAGCCTCAACCATGACATACCGTAAGGTTGCGAGTCACCTCACGGTCCGTAGTCATCGCACGGTCCGTAGTCATCGCACGGTCCGGAGTCATCGCACAGGGGTGCGATGCAAGCGAATGGCTGGACTAAATGATTGAATTCGATTTCCGCACAGGGTCCGGAGTCACCACACGGGGTGCGATAACTTTGCCACCTAGGGTAGTTGAGTGCCAGTGATTCCGGGGCAACTTTCAGCCCTACAACCATGCCAGAGTGCTGGCATGTTCGCTCTGCTGTATGGGTAGGTCATCGCCTCACATCGCACGTGGATGTATGGCGGAAATGAACCGCATTGGTATTACCACTGGATCGGTAAACTTGAAGATTATCCATCAAGCCTAAACTCGAGAAAGAAAAACAGCAGCCATAAGCCAAAACAACTAACAGCAAGTAAGCACCCTGTGGAACAGCACCATGGAACCGCAGCACTACCAGTGTTCTACTTTACCACCAACCTAAAACCTAGCACCCACAGGGCTAACTGCTGTGATTGACTGATGTGCGCGTGTGTGTGTGCGTTGCGTGTGAAGCCTGCAACCGTAGCACAACTGAGGTGTCCGTGCATCTGCAAAGATTTTTCGAGTACCGCACATACGGTAGTCACCGCACAGGGGTGGGTGTTAAATATTCTTGGTAATATCGCGTTCGGGGTTTACTCAGGTCCGCACATACCGGAGTTTTCGCACAGGGGTGTGCGTTATAGATCAAAACTAGATACTTTCATTCGGTTTCCACACAGGGTCCGGAGTCGTTGCACACAGGGGTTCGATTCAAATTTAATGGTAAAAATGTTAAACAAACGACCGCACGGGGGTGCGGTGACTCGCAACCTTACGGTACTACAAGAACATCCCGACATGCAGCTTGCAGACGTTTACAACATAGGTGATTTTTCCAAACACTCTCCTTCCAATAAACTTAGCGCCCGAACAATCGCTTATTTTCTTCGTTGGCCGAGGCTCGATGCCATTGGCTCCCTTACAACCGAGAACTTGTGCTCATTATCAAATATAAAATCGAGCAGGTATGATCCATCCGCCATGATGAACGGGGTTCTTGTTAATATTCTCACGCCGAAGGCCCCATGCAGAGGCAAGGTTGGTGTCCATTCTGGATAGATTCAACCGGCCGGGCACTTGAGAGCAGCGTGTTCATTAAACGAGTAGAGACGGCTGGATCCAACGCGCCGCAGCTTCCGCGATCACCACAGGGTAGAAGAACAGACGCGGCATCGCCTGAAAGAATGACGCATCAGAGCAGAGGTCCACAAGGGTCACGTTCGGCGTGATTGTCCTCCCCGCTCTACTATGTATGCCCGTCATAGAAACAACTACTACCTTCACCCTGCTCTTGGATAGCCGAACTTCTTGCCTGCTCTTCGGTGCTCCCCTCGAGCAGAGCCCACGACCACCCTACCACCGCATCCGGATCGCTACATCTCTACTGTACTTCTCCAACGGAAGCTTCATGCTGCGCGTACTTTGGCCCAGCTCGAAGTGCACACGTTAGTCTCAAGTTGGCGGGAATGCTCCTGAGACTGCCGAGTGATGAGCCCACCGAACCAAACCAGCCCCATGCTCAGCTTCACGAGTACTCGACGCTGCAGCAACGAACTGCCTTAAACAACGAGTTGAGACCTTCCGATTCGATAACCGGTGGGGGCGACGATTTTTTCGCCTCAACACCGCTTTTTTTTGTATGAGCAGGAAGTTGCAACATTTGCTGCAAGCATTTCGCAAATTTTGGGTGGGAACTTTTGTCTTCAGTCAATGAAACCTTTGATGCACGCTGTTTAATGCGAGGAAGAAAGTATTGTGCGCGGGACTGGCGGAATGCGGAGGTGTGATCCTTGTTATCTTTTTCTAGCAACGGCGAGAAGCAGGCACACCCCTTCAAACCACACCGCGAAGAAGCCGGCCAGAGTGTGCGGGAGAGGATAGCTGCGACCTTTTTTTCTCCACACTCAACGATACCCCAAGGTATCGAACCTGGTACCAGAAAGATGCTCGGTAGAGCTACCTCCCTCGGAGTGGCATTGCTGTTGCTATTGCCTCCTCCTTCGAAAAGCTATCGCTGGAAAACCAAACCACTAGCGCACGATCCCCGCGAACTCGAACCAACCGATCTCTGACGTGGGTTTTTAGGGCCAACCACAACTTTTTTCCCCACGCGCACGATACCCCACGGCACCAAACCTTGGGCATGAAAGATGGGGCAGGGAGCTACCTACCTCCAGCCGAGTGGCCTTGCTATTGTTGTTGCTTCCTCCTTGGGAAAGCCATCAGTGGAAAACCGAACCCGTGGGGGTCAAAAGCACTGAACTTGCGCTAGTCTAACCGCTTGCGGCCGTTGACGGTCGTGCGTCAGCACAAACGTTTTTCCCGGCGCATTCGACACCACAGCGCCAAACCTTGGCATTGCCCAACAGCCCATGGCATCACCTCCTTCCAGATACCATTCATGAGGCAACTCGGTACGTATTCGTCGAGGTATCGGTGAACACGGCCTTCCCTCAATCAAAGCTGGAGAGGGGGTCTACGTGGTGGTAGAGGTAGCAGCTGGACGTGGATTGGATGTCTCGCGGCGTAACTTTTGTTCGACACCTTCGCCAAAAAAAAGTTGTTTCGAAAGTTTTTGCTCGCATACAGCCAAGCAAGATTGCAGTACAGTATTCAATTATTTAATTGTTTTTGTTTAGGGTTTGGGGTGTATTATTTATTTTTAGGTTTTGGGGAGACAATATGAGCGCACATGAGGAAAGTTGCAAAACTAGTTTGGGAACTTTGAGTTTTTTCGCAAAATTCTGTTCCCATAAAGACCGGCGTAAGGAAGAGGTGTCGGCAAGCTTTTTCGTCGCTCCCGCGTCAACTCGATGACCTCCCAGTCTACCTTCGTGAGGCAGTTGCCAGCAATGACACGTTCTTTGATGGCCTCAATGCCGTTCAAGATGGATAGTTCCTTTCAACTTTGACAGTTGGCCGACCTCTTTCAAACTCTCAACGGGTACAGACATGGTTCCCGTGTAAATAGATGCTTTTGCGATTAGCACCATGTGGCATCACTGAAAATATTTCAGCGCATAGGCTTAGCTAGACTCAAAATACGTCCAGTACGCACCGCAGGAGGAAGGTGGGGCATGAAAATTAATAAAAAGAAGAAAAAAAAAGTGGTGTTTACCCCCTCCTGTGTGACCCTGGATGGCTTTAGTTTACAAAAAATATACACTGAAAAGTGTAGTACACGTCTCATCACGAAAAATGGGGGAACTGACGCCATAATAAAAGGACGAAAACACACACACATCCAGCTGTTTTTCGTCCCACCCACTGCACAGACTTCAACGCATCCCCGACGGTTGTAATATTTCGAACAAGTTTGTAGAGTCGTCCAGTGATTGCGTACACATTTTCTAAAATACGAAGGGACCCCGAGGATGCACTACTTCCTACCGCCTGCCGTAAATGGACCGGCCACTACTGACCTCAACCAAGACCCATCGCGCCGCCCAATATGTTGTTACCTTTTCACTGTGGCGCCAACAAATACTATTGTTCCCATCGCCTTGCTCGTGCTCCGCCACAATCAAGTGATTAATATCATTTCTCTTACATCCCCCAACGTGCCGCTGGCGGCAGAAACATATGAAGGCGATGAAAAACAGCTTCCGGAAATTGGGGAAAATGCACAGACGGGGGAAGGCGGCGGTTCCGAGGGACCCAACGCGACTACACACATCAGCCCGATCGGAGGCTGGCATAGCAACGCCGCCCTTTGGCAAAGAACAGACAAAAAAGCAGAAGGAACGCCAGGAGCAGAGCAGCGTCCAACTCGAGCAAGGCAAGCGTAAGAGGCAAACACCATACGAAACACGCGTGGAAGATGGGCAGGAGAAACTGCAAGAGGACGAGCCCGAGAAGCAGGGCGGAGGGGAACGTGAAGACACAGCGGAGGAAAAAGGGGACGGGCAGGTAAAACGTCCTGAGGAGGAGGGCGAGGAAGAGGGCCCGAAGGCCGAGAACCGGAGCTACCGTGAAGGTCAGGAGGAAGCGGCCGAGAAGGAAGGAAAAGGGCGGGAGGAACACTCAGAGAAAAATGCCGAAGACGGCTCGGAGCCCCAGAAGGAAGAGAGAAGTGAACACAAAGACATAGCAGAGAATGTCGCAATGGAATCGCTGGACGAGGTAAACAAACATGTTGTGTGTTGCCACCCTCGCACTTCGCGATGCCTTCGTGCACCTTTGCCACGTGATGTTCCTCCCCACGGACTCGTACAGCATTGTGTCCGCGTCGATGATCGGGGACGGTCAAAAGCGCGTAAGGCGTGCCCAACACTGACCCGCCACTTTCGATACCGAGAAGTACGAAGTAAGCTTGGAAAAGCTTGGAACATCGGACGACCTTGTTTTGGAGCCCTTAGCAGTGCCTAGCAAGCCGACGTTGATCTGGAATGTCATTGGCTACTGCAAAGTGCTGATGAGCCACATCCATACGCTCGTCGGCTGTGAAGTTTGAGCCCCCATCTGACCAAAAGGGTCGAACAAAAACACGAACAGTGGCGCTCATGCTTCTCCTCTACGTTCTTGTTCACATTTCCCTCTCTTTTCGTTCGTTTAGTGTTCACCTGAGGAGGAACAAACGGATGGAATGTGTGTCGAGGGTGACTCCACTCCGACCAACGAGGTACGTGGCACTTCGGGATGTCCCTCCCCAGAGACTACACTCGCAAGGCGTACCCAAAACTGACCCGCCACTTCTGTTACCGAGAAGTACGAAGTAAGCTTGGAAAAGCTCGGAACATCGGGCGACCTTGTTTTGGAGCCCTCAGCAGTGCCTAGCAAGCCGACGTTGATGTGGCGTATCATAGGTTACTGCATAGTGCTGATGAGTCACATCCATACGCTTGTCGGCTGTGAAGTTTGAGCCCCCATCTGACCAAAAGGGTCGAACATAAACACGGACAGTGGCGCTCATGCTTCTCCTCCACGTTCTTGTACATATTTCCCTCTCTTTTCGTTCGCTTAGCGTTCACCTGAGGAGGAACTAACGGAGGAGACAGGGGTCGGGGATGCCACCAGCCCGACCAACGAGGTAAGTGACGCCGCGTGATGTCCCCCCCAGAGACTACTATCACGAGGCGTGCCCAAAACTGACGCGCCACCATTGATGCCGAGAAGTACGAAAAAAGCTTGGAAAAGCTTTCAAGATCACACGACCTATTTCTGGAGCCCTCAGCAGTGCATACATCGCAAGTCGACGTTGATCAGGAATGTCAGGTATATGCTGATGAGCTACACCTACACGCTTGCCGGCTGTGAAATTTGAGCCCTCATCTGACCGAAAGGGTCGAACGTAAAGCACGAACAGTGGCGCTCATCACTCTAAGGTTTTGTGCACATTTCCCTCTGTTTTCGTTCGTTTAGCGTTCACCTGAGGAGGAACAAACGGAGGGGACGAGGGTCGAGTATGCCACCAGCCCAACCAACGAGGTAAAATCGCCACGTGATCTTCCTCCCCAGAGACTACTCTCGTATTGCCTCACCGCCCGTGCACGCGGGGCGTACTCTCATGGTTTGCACGCCTCAGCGGGTTGACCATTGACACAGCGTCCTCGAGAGGACGGACGATATGTTCCCACAGGACCCATCATCGATGGCCAATCGTCCCATCCTCCTTCGCCAAATGTGGCTCAATAACGTTTTCCATGGCCTATCTATCCTATGGACTCCTGCCTTTTCACCCCACTTCCTATGCCCCAGTTCGGCTACCGGCTTCTACTGGCAATGCAATGCTCCAAACTTCTCCCTGTACCTTCTTTCTACTTTTCCAAGTTAAATCACGTGCACTTCCTTCTCCTTCTTGTACAAAGGACATTCCGCAACTACGTGAACCCGGTCTTCGCACTCGGAGCCGCATTCACATTTGAACTTGTCGTTTTCATTGTCTACCTTTCTAAAGCTTCGTCTACGTTCGAAGGCCAATGCCCCAGGTCCTAAACTTGACCTTCAGCTTTGTCCCTGCATCCATTGGTCCATTTTGAGAATCCTTGAACTTATCATTGGATATCGTATCGATTTTTTCGATATATCGTATCGATTTATCGTATCGATATCGGATATCGAAAACATTTGAACTTTTCGATATTTCGATACTTCGATATCGATACGATAAATCGATAAATACTCCACGGAACCTCTGACGTTCCACACGGAACCCCCACAGCTGCACACCACACAGTACACAGCAGCTGCACGTAGTGAAATACGCGCATTCAACAAAGTAGTTGCAGCTACTATCCATTTATCTATCATTATTGTGCCATTTGTCTCTCATTGCTGTGAGATCTCGGCTTTTCTACGACAAGCAAGCTTTCTTTTTTGGTTGCGGCGTGCGATACCGCCGAGCTTTCTTGAAGCAGCAGTGTAGAATAATCAACTGATGAAAATGATTTTCATTTTTCGGTGTAGATGTAGATAGACTATTACCCACATAGATATTGTTTTTCAAGCAGTTGGCTGCACACCGACGGCGGGTTTCGGAGGCCTGTTTAGGGGTAACTTTGACGTGAAATGAAGCGAAATTTCTTCATTTTTCTTGCCTCCGGCGGCGCCTCCGGCGGGGCCCCATCACCAGCCGGGGGGGGGGGGGG